CTCTTTCTCTCTTTCTCTCTTTCTCTCTTTCTCCCAGTTTGCTGTCCCACCCACCATAAATACATTTAACCTACCCCCCCCCCCCCTCCAACTTAGCACAGTTCTTATCCACTCACACATACGCTCAATATGGTACGCATAGGGCAAGAAATCAAAGATATGCAAACATGATAAAGGAGGAGGTGGCACACCTGAAAGGTATACCGAAACCTACATTGAGGCCGTCTCGAAGTATATTTACTCAGCCACCAACAGCTGGACAGACTACCTACCTGATGACTAGCATAATAAAACCAGTGGTACCTCCAATAGCTTAAAGTTAGAAAGTGTACGATGTAGTTCGGTGATCATGCCTCTCAATATAGGCTTTATCTACCAAGCCACTAAGCCTGAGAAGATCTGCTAGTTCACACTGTTCCTGCCTGTCATATCTACAACCAAACCAACAGTGTACCACAACACTACCGGGTCATAAGCGGTGAATTCATGTACCACTGTACTTTCTTTCCCATACACTATTGTATTTCTGTTCTTCCATGAAAATTGAATGAATACAAATACTAACACCAAAAGGAGGGAAGGAAAAAGAAAGGGGGAAGGGAAAGACAAAAGAAAGGGGGAAAAAATAGTTAGGGTACCCCTTTCTTCTTTATTGTGCTCCCCACCATAGTTCTCCTCTATTTGTAGGAGTCCCTGGAATTTTTTGTATTGTTTGGTATTTTCTGTAAGGTTACTCCCAGTTTTAGGAGAGCAGCCACAGGTGGAGTGTGTGGTGGGTGTCTGTCAGCGCTTGGTGTTTTCCTGGGATGTGGGAGAACCCTTCAATTCTCTTTTCCTTTTCTCTGTATGTTACACCAAGTGTCTCCTGTGTAGGACATAAATTAACTGGCATGGTATGATGGGAGTAGGCCTTTATGTTAGCTTGTTTTCTACCACAAGGCAGTATAATGCTTCGTTGATGCAATCTCTGCAGACCATAAACTGAAAGTTAAAAAAGCAGGAAACTGCTCTCACTTTATTTGAGCCACTGTTGGTGGTCAAACAATCTGTAGTTTCTCAGATTTGCTAATGACACCTGCCATTTTCCTTTTCTGTTGGGCACTCCAAGCGATCATTTTGTCCCACTTCATATCAATATCAAATGTGTACTTTAGCAACTTGTGTCATTAATGTTGAAAGTTTATCACTTGTGATAACATTCACTTGTTGCATATACTGAAGTTACCGATTGACTAATTAAATGAGATGTTCTATATATGTGCCTGTTCGACTTATGTCAGCTGAAAATTAATGTAAACTTTTATTGTTATAGAGTTTTCTGCAGGTAACAACATTCACTTGTAATATGTTATCATCTCAAAAAAACTGAATGAATAAAAAAAATAAAAAATTATTAATCTATCAAAAAATCTATATATAAAAAAAATCCAAATATTATAGCATTCAAATATTTTTTCAAAATATCAACTCATTTTTAAAGTTTTTACGACTATTTCAAATCATTCAAAAGAAAAGCTCATCTAAAAATGTTATGTTTCATTTTCAGCATATGTGATGCGATTTATTAAATACGTCATATTTTCCATCTGTTGCTTCTTTATGAGAGCAGAAGGTTCAATGTCCATTTGGTGCATCACATATTTATACATTTAACCATTTAAATTCTTTTTTTCATTATTAAGGCTTAAAATTCTTAAATATTCCTCACGACCTTTTAAGAAATGAACAGGTATCACTGACACTTCATAGTATCCAATATTTATGGTAGTTGGGTGATTTGGGGTCTCTTTCTCTCTCTCTCTATATATACATATTTGTGCTCGGGGCTACAAAGCCGTATGTTGTACTTGATACCGTATTATACATGTAGAGGGATACAACATTCGGTTGTGGTGTGTCGAAACCGACGTATCGGTCAACAATCCTATTATTACAACATAGAATATCAAATGGTTAAATGGCTAAATGTAGGAAAGCATGTCTAACTTCCTTCTCTGGTTGAGGAATGTATCTACAGTAGGCTTTAGATTTCCAGCGCCCCAATGATTTTATAATATGGGTAGAGATGTACTTATAGGGGGCTGCCGAGGCCGAACCTATCCTGAAGAAGTGTGCGGAACGGTGTATGGGATTAAGACCTAGTCGTATTAATAGGATTCTAACGTAAAGCATGAATTTGCTTGTAGTGAGAATGGCACCCTGTAAGGTAAGTAAAGGTTGATTTTAAGGTGATGGTAAGTTGTCTAGATACACATCTAGTGTCTTTACTGGACACTATTTATTAAATGTGGTCTAATAAGGAACGTTTACTGTTTGACTTGGTTGACTGGTCTTGGTATGTTGCAGAGGGAGTACGTAGAGGTCTTCTTGTTTGCTAATATGTGATATCTTGAGGCATGACCTTAATTCGGAAGTGTTGATGGTAGGGAACTCCCTGGGTCTGAGGAACCTGTAAAAAGTATATAGCGACTTTACTTTGTCTAACTAATATCGTGACTCCTTTACTTTTGGATGGAAATTTAGCATGGTATTGGTGAGGGTAATTTTTCATTCCTATTCTAGGATTAGAGTCATGTTTAAAATAGGTCTCCTGCAAGCATATGATATCTGCTTGTGAGTTGCTTAGTTCTGTAAGTAAAGTATATCGCTCTAACATGGTGCATGTAGAATTTCATTCTGCTTAAAGGACCACTATAGTGCCAGGAAAACATACTCGTTTTCCTGGCACTATAGTGTCCTGAGTGTGCCCCCACCCTCAGGGTCCCCCTCCCGCCCGGCTCTGGAAGGGGGAAAGGGGTAAAAACGTACCTTTTTCCAGCGCTGGGCGGGGAGCTCTCCTCCTCCGATCCTCCTCTTCTCCTCCCCGTTGGCTGAATGCACACGCGCGGCAAGAGCTGCGCGCGCATTCAGCCGGTCACATAGGAAAGCATTCATAATGCTTTCCTATGGACGCTGGCGTGCTCTCACTGTTAAAATCAATCAGACAGCCGCTAGAGGAAATAGGGGAAGGCTTAACCCATTTATAAACATAGCAGTTTCTCTGAAACTGCTATGTTTATGAAAAAATTGGTTAACCCTAGCTGGACCAGGCACCCAGACCACTTCATTAAGCTGAAGTGGTCTGGGTGCCTAGAGTGGTCCTTTAACTTCAATAGGCAATTGTAGTCGTTCTAGTGTTGATTTAGTCTTGATTCCTTAAGAAAAAAATTAAAATAAATAAATAAAAAGAGGAAAAAAGAGAAAGTGGGGGGGGGGGGAACGGGAAGAGAGAGAAGGAGGGAAACCCAACAATCAAAAAATGGGCACCTCGAATGATATGTGCCAAATATTGGCACTTCTTAGGTGGGGGTAGTGTGTTCGGGTCGGATCCAGTTAATGGCAGTCTTGGGCTCATAATTTGTGCAGTTCCCCTAGGAGGTGTTGATTCAGAGATTAGTAGTTTACACAGTTGCAATGAACCACCTTTGCAGGTTTCAGGGCTGTAGAAATTATAATTAGACAGCTAATAAAGATTATGTATCAGATAATCTGATACATTTAGGGCATATCCATAGTGGGCCTCCCCAGCAGTATTTTTACTTAAGTTATTTTGTGAATCAAATATTTTACAGTGATTACTTCTTACAAATTGATATTATACAGCAGTGTGGTTAAACCTTGGCTGAGGTTTAATAAACACACATTAGGGCCAATTAAAGTAATAATTAAATCAAGAACAAACAAACAAAAAAACACTCAGAAAAAAAGCTTCTCCAACTTTTAGTTTAGGGACATTGCATCTGGGCACATAGCAGTAGCTTATGTTAGTTAGCCTTAGTAAGCTAATATTGAAAAAAATGTTGAAGAATATGTCCATTGCAGACCCCTTAACCTGTTAAGCCAATTAAGTTGTCTACTGAGCCCTCTATCTTTCCCTGATACTCTTATTACGAACTTGTATAATAAGGAACTTTTACTGTTTGACCTGGTTGACTGGTCTTGGTATGTTGCAGAGAGAGTACGTGGTGGTCTTCCTGTTTGCTAATATGTGATATCTTGAGGCATGACCATAATTCGGAAGTGTTAATGGTAGGGAATTCCCTGGGTCTGAGGAACCTGTAAAAAGCTAAGTATATAGCGACTTTTAAGGTTTGATTGGTCTTTGGTTCGAATGGTGACTTATCCAGAAGGTCTGATAAAGACCAGAACAAGCTCCCATTGTTTGGTAATCTCTGCGATGGTTGTGGTGTACTGCACCTCTGGATTCTCTTTAACACGGTGTTAACCCCTTAACGCCGTTACGGCGTTCTATGCCGTCCCGCATTCAAAGGGCTTTAAAGCTGTTGCGGCGGCATAGAAAGCCGTAACGGCTTTCTATCCCTGGAGGTGAGATTTACTTACCTCCGCCGCGATCCTCTTCTGGAGGGCTGCTTGACAGCCCAGACAGCCCTCCCCCGGCAAATGAGGCCCCCTATAGCTGGCTGTGGATCTGTCAGCAGGGTGGTGGGAAGAATAAATCCTGCTGGTGGGAAGAATAAAAAAAAAAATTAGACATGTGTAAAATTAAATTAGAAATGTATTTATATATATATAATATATGTATATCTATTATATATATATAATATATACATATTATATACCGTATTTATCGGCGTATAACACGCACCGGCGTATAACACGCACCTCATTTTAAGAAGGAAATTGCAGGGAAAAAAACCTTAAATTTCAAATAAAGAACTTCTTACCCCCTTCTTACTCCCCCCTCCCCCTTGTAACGAGAATATACCCCTACACGCAGGATCCAGCTAAACAGAAGCCAATACAGAG